CAAATTAAAATAAACAAACAAACAAACAAATAAATAAAGTTAAATAAAATAATTCTTAAGAAAAAAAAAAAAAAGTGAGGGAGCCAGCAGGTAGTAGGTGGTAAAGGCTCTGGACTCCCACATGGCCAACCATGGTTTGAGTCTCAGACGTAGAGGCCTGATTACCTACTTTCCCTTTCTCTTTCTATCTGTCTCTCTCTGGCCAAATTAAATAATGATGATGATAAGCAATAAAATAATAGAATTGTTTTTTAAAAAAAGAAAATGAGGATAAAATTAGGGTCATCACTGGAAGGACACTGTAAGGACATAAAAGGACTTTTAGGGGCCGGCAGGTGGTGTGGTGGTTAAGGGCGCTGGACTCCTATATAACTGACTGCAGTTCAAGTCCCAGACATAGTGGCTTGCTTTCTCACTTCCCCTCTGTCTCTTTCTCTCTCTGTCCCTTTCTGATCAAATTAAGACAAACAAACAAACAAACAAATAAAGTTAAATAAAATAGTTCTATTTAAAAAAGAACTTTTAAAAAAACAGATAGATGACGGATGATAAATTGATTAATCGATTTTGCCTTTAAAGAGAAAATGTTAGTGTAACTGAATGTGAAGACTTCATTTTACTTGTATATATTTCCCAGCAATATGTTTATTTTCAAGTATGAAGGAAATGTCTTACCCCACAACCTTTATATATTCTCTTTCTTTTCTTCTGAGTAGGTTGTAATATCCCTTTTCCTTAAACTTTATGAACTTTACTGATGAATGTCCAGAGGTCTTTTTGAAACTATGATTTCCCATATACCCTTCAAATGCTGGTAAAACTCTTCTCAGGAAATTTTAAACTATTTTCCTTGTTTGTTTGTTTGTTTTAAAAGAGATTTTTGCTGGGAACCAGCAGTTGGTGTAATGGCTATGTTGCTGGACTCCCACGTAGTTGACCACAGTTCGCATCCCGGACCCGGTGGCTTAAAACTCACGCCGGGCGTGTGTGCGTGCGTGCCCAAGATCCCGAGAGGAGAATGGAGGAGAAGGGATTGCGGCGTGACCAATCCCCCCTGGGGGGTGATTTCTCGCTTTCTGTCTCTATGTCTCTCTCTGTCTGTCTGGAGAGCGCACGCGCCCTATAGGGAAAATCTCTCCAAAAAAAAAGAAAACAAAAAGAGATTTTTGCTAAAGGGCACGTGTGCTCACTGGAGAGGCAGAGATAGAGAGACAGAGAGAAATCAACCCCCAGGGGGAATGACCATGCCGCAATTCTTTCTCCTCCATTCTCCTCCTGGGATTTTGGGTACACATCCACATGCTCCTGGCATGAGTTTTAAGTCGCCAGGTCCAGGACTGCGGTCAACTACGTGGTAGTCTAGCGACATAACTATTATGCCATCTACTAGTTCCCTGTTTTCCCTGTTTATGATACTTAGTTTAGGTCTAGCAAAATTTCTTTTGTTATTATTGAATCAGTAGCTCTGCTTCTTTAATCAATAGACTATTTCTTTTTAGGGGATCAGTAGATGGCGTAGCAGTAAAAAGTCACTGGACTCCCACATGGCTGACTATGATTTGAGTCCCTGACCCAGTGGCTTGAAACTCACATTGGGTGTGCATGTGTTTCCAAGATCCCAGGAAGAGAAGGGAGGGGAAGGGATTGTGGCATCACCATCCTCCCTGGGGTGTAAGAGGATGATTTCTCACTTTCTGTCCTACTTTTTCTGTCTTTCTCCCACCCCCCACCCCGCATGTGCACACACCCTAAGGCAAAAACCTCTACCCCCCAAAAAAAGAAAAAAAAAAGATTAATTCCATTCTCTCTCTCTCTCTTTTAAGTTTTGCTATAGGACAGGTGCACTTGCCAGAGAGAAAAGAGAGAGGGAACGTGAGAAATCACCCCCCTGGGGATATGGCCCACTGTAGTCCCTTCTCCTCCATTCTCCTCTCAGGAGTTTAGGCACACATGAACATGCACCTGGCATGATTTTCAAGCCACTTGGTTTGGGACTCAAATTACAAGTTGGCCATGTGGGATCTAGCTATCCTAACCACCACACCACCAGCTGGCCCAGGAATACTTATTTCTTTATTGATTTTATATAGAGAAGCCAGTCGAGTACTTCATAAGCACACCATTTTGCTGATGTTTTGTGTATATAAATGTGTACTGTGGGACCAGCAGTTGGCGTAATGGCTATGTTGCTGGACTCCCATGTAGTCGACCATGGTTCGAGTCCTGGACCTGGTAGCTTAAACTCATGCCAGGCGCGTGTGCGTGTGTGCCCAAGATCCCAAAAGGAGAACAGAGGAGAAGGGATTGTGGCATGGCCATCCCCCCTGGGGGGTGATTTCTCACTTTCTGTCTCTCTGTCTCTCTCTGTCTTTCTGGTGAGCGCATGTGCCCTACAGCAAAAACCTCTCTAAAAAAAAGTGTGTTGTAAGTACAGTCCTTAAAAGGACCTATTTTGTCCCTTCTTTCTCACCCTTACAGAATAAAAATATTCAGCCTTTAAAATGTCTAATCAAACACCAGCAAGAAGTAAAGATTTATTTTCCCATCAAGCTTACACCCAACTTTCTGGCCTTTCCTCATCATCCTATAGGAGAGTTATATCGTTATAAAGTACAGGTATGGTGTCCTATAATATAAGAATTTACAAAGAGATAGTTTCTCTGATAGCTTAGTTTATTGAAATCTGATTAATATAAAATTTTGTGTCTTCCCAATCCTGATAGTATAACTCTATTTTTGGCGATGCCTTTCTTTTTCTTTTCTTCTTCTTTTTTTTTTTTTTTTTTTTATAGTTTTTGCTAGGGGGCTTATGTGCTCACCAAAGAGAGATAAAGAAACACAAGAGAGAGGGAAAGTGAGAAAGCAACCCCCAGGGGGAGTGGCCACACTGCAACCCCTTCTCCTTTATTTCTTCTTTTGGGATTTTGGGTGTACATGCACATACAAACAGTGTGTTTTACTTTTCTTTCTTTCTTTTTTTTTTTAACTTTTTTTTGGAGAGGTTTTTGCCATAGGGCGCATGCGCTCGCCAGAAAGACAGAGAGACAGAAAGCGAGAAATCACCCCCCGGGGGGATGGCCACGCAGCAAACCCTTCTCCTCCATTCTCCTCTCGGGATCTTGGGCACGCACACGCGCCCGGAGTGAGTTTTAAGCCACTGGGTCTGGGATGCGAACCGCGGTCACCTACAAGGGAGTCCAGTGACATAGCCATTACGCTAACTGCTGGTCCTGTCAGTGTGTTTTCCAAGCCCCTGGGTTCAAGACTCAAACCATGTAGTTGGGCATGTGGGATCCAGCCACCTTAACTACCACACCACTGGCTAGCTTAAAATCATGCTTTTAAATACTGTCATCTATAGCAAGATTTGATGTTCTTTCTATATCTCTTCCAAGTATCCTTTTTTAAATTTTATAAGGTTTTATAAGTTCCCAAGTTCCCTCGTTACCTTTTCTGGCATTTTATGAGTCTACCATTACTTAATGTCCCTTTAGTATTTCCGTTGTCCATTTAGCTATTTCCTCTAATATCACAGTCTCTCTTAATGTGTCTAGAAATAATTTATTATCTAGTTTTATTTCCTAAACTTAATTTTACCAGTCAAGTTTTACATTTTCACTTGAATTTGATTTTTCCTCCTATAGTATTTAAATATAAGGTTGTGCTTTCTCACAGGTAGAAGGCGGTAGCGGCAACTTCACCTGGACCTCTTCTAATGAAACAGTGGCCATGGTAACCACCAAAGGAATGGTGACTGCAGGGCAGGTCAGGGGGAACAGCACTATACTGGCCCGAGATGTACAAAATCCCTTTCGATATGGAGAAATTAAGGTAGACAACTCTCTAAAAACTTTCTTATCACCCTTGAGACATTACTGTCTATATTTTTTTTATGAGAGAGGGAAGGAAAGAGAGAGAGAAAGATAGGTGTATTTTTTTGACAAGATGTCGTCAGAGAGAGAGTGGGAGTGAGGGAAGGAGAGAAGAAAGAGGAGTATGAAGAAAGTGAAGCTGTGTTTTTGTTTATTTGGTTTTTGTTTGTTTTCTGTTTTTTAATTTTTTGACAAGGTCTTCCTGTTAAGATCCTCTGCTTGAGCTTCCCAGTTAGCTAAGATTACAGGTACAGGCTGCCATGCCCAGCCTGTTCAGGTTGATCCACGATCTGAACCCAGACCTCCTATGTGACCCCACGCTAGCACAGTAGCATCCCACCACTTGCACCACTACAACTAGGCCTGCTGTCTAAATCTAAGTATAGTAATACATTTTTTAGAAATGTCTAGGAGCCAGCAGGTGGCGTAATGGTTAAGGTGTTGGACTCCCACATGGTGAACCGTGTTTCAAGGCACAGACCTGGCAGTTGGAAAATCATGCCAGGCACCTGTGCGTGCATGCCCCAAATCTCAAGAGAATAGAGAAGAAGAGAATGCAGCAAGTGCGTGTGCCCTATAACTAAAAAAAAAAAAAAAAATTCTAGTCTAAAATGGCTATTTAGAAACATTGCTCGGGGGGCCAGCAGATGGCATGGTGGTTAAGGGCATTAGACTCCCATGTGGCTGACTGCAGTTCGAGTCCTGGACCTGGTGGCTTGCTTTCTAACTTTCCCTCTCTCTCACTCTGTCCCTCTCTGGTCAAATTAAAATAAATAAATACATAAGTAAATAAAGTTAAATAAAATAATTATTTATGAAAAAAAATTGCTTGGGACCAGCAGATGACATAATAGTTATGTTGCTGGACTCCCATGTAGTTGACTATGGTTTGAGTCTCAGACACAGAGGCTTAAACCTCATGCTAAGCACGTGTGCATGCATGCATAAAATCCCAGGGAAAATGGAGGAGAAGGATTGCAGCATGGCCATCCCCGCAGGGGTTGATTTTCTGCTTTCTGTCTCTCTGTGTCTCTCTGTCTTTCCAGTGAGTGCATGCGCCCTATAGCAAAAACCTCTCTCAAAAAAATAATAAAAACCTTGCTCAATGCTCCAACCTGGTGTCACAATTTTTAGCAAAGTTAACTGCAGTGATGGAAGGCATATGGCTGATGGCAGTTTGGATTACAGGGTTGGCTCAAGATATGGGGGACAAACCGGGCACGTGCACATATGCCCAAGATCCTGAGGAGCTGCAGGGCTGGGGAAAGCAAACTGCTGCAAGACAAGACCCTGTCACAGATGATTCTCTCTTTCTCTCTGTGCTCCTCCCTCTGGTGCACATGCACATAATCTCTATCATAATAAAAAATAAACTTTAAAAAATATTTATTTTATTTTTTTTTTTTTTTTTTTTTTTTTTTTTTTTTTTTTTTTTTTACAGTTTTTGCTAGGGGGCTTATGTGCTCACCAAAGAGAGATAAAGAAACACAAGAGAGAGGGAAAGTGAGAAAGCAACCCCCAGGGGGAGTGGCCACACTGCAACCCCTTCTCCTTTATTTCTTCTTTTGGGATTTTGGGTGTACATGCACATACAAACAGTGTGTTTTACTTTTCTTTCTTTCTTTTTTTTTTTAACTTTTTTTTGGAGAGGTTTTTGCCATAGGGCGCATGCGCTCGCCAGAAAGACAGAGAGACAGAAAGCGAGAAATCACCCCCCGGGGGGATGGCCACGCAGCAAACCCTTCTCCTCCATTCTCCTCTCGGGATCTTGGGCACGCACACGCGCCCGGAGTGAGTTTTAAGCCACTGGGTCTGGGATGCGAACCGCGGTCACCTACAAGGGAGTCCAGTGACATAGCCATTACGCTAACTGCTGGTCCTGTCAGTGTGTTTTCCAAGCCCCTGGGTTCAAGACTCAAACCATGTAGTTGGGCATGTGGGATCCAGCCACCTTAACTACCACACCACTGGCTAGCTTAAAATCATGCTTTTAAATACTGTCATCTATAGCAAGATTTGATGTTCTTTCTATATCTCTTCCAAGTATCCTTTTTTAAATTTTATAAGGTTTTATAAGTTCCCAAGTTCCCTCGTTACCTTTTCTGGCATTTTATGAGTCTACCATTACTTAATGTCCCTTTAGTATTTCCGTTGTCCATTTAGCTATTTCCTCTAATATCACAGTCTCTCTTAATGTGTCTAGAAATAATTTATTATCTAGTTTTATTTCCTAAACTTAATTTTACCAGTCAAGTTTTACATTTTCACTTGAATTTGATTTTTCCTCCTATAGTATTTAAATATAAGGTTGTGCTTTCTCACAGGTAGAAGGCGGTAGCGGCAACTTCACCTGGACCTCTTCTAATGAAACAGTGGCCATGGTAACCACCAAAGGAATGGTGACTGCAGGGCAGGTCAGGGGGAACAGCACTATACTGGCCCGAGATGTACAAAATCCCTTTCGATATGGAGAAATTAAGGTAGACAACTCTCTAAAAACTTTCTTATCACTCTTGAGACATTACTGTCTATATTTTTTTTATGAGAGAGGGAAGGAAAGAGAGAGAGAAAGATAGGTGTATTTTTTTGACAAGATGTCGTCAGAGAGAGAGTGGGAGTGAGGGAAGGAGAGAAGAAAGAGGAGTATGAAGAAAGTGAAGCTGTGTTTTTGTTTATTTGGTTTTTGTTTGTTTTCTGTTTTTTAATTTTTTGACAAGGTCTTCCTGTTAAGATCCTCTGCTTGAGCTTCCCAGTTAGCTAAGATTACAGGTACAGGCTGCCATGCCCAGCCTGTTCAGGTTGATCCACGATCTGAACCCAGACCTCCTATGTGACCCCACGCTAGCACAGTAGCATCCCACCACTTGCACCACTACAACTAGGCCTGCTGTCTAAATCTAAGTATAGTAATACATTTTTTAGAAATGTCTAGGAGCCAGCAGGTGGCGTAATGGTTAAGGTGTTGGACTCCCACATGGTGAACCGTGTTTCAAGGCACAGACCTGGCAGTTGGAAAATCATGCCAGGCACCTGTGCGTGCATGCCCCAAATCTCAAGAGAATAGAGAAGAAGAGAATGCAGCAAGTGCGCCCCAAATCTCAAGAGAATAGAGAAGAAGAAAATGCAGCAAGTGTGTGTGCCCTATAACTAAAAAGAAAAAATAAAGAAAAAAAAAAATTCTAGTCTAAAATGGCTATTTAGAAACATTGCTCGGGGGGCCAGCAGATGGCATGGTGGTTAAGGGCATTAGACTCCCATGTGGCTGACTGCAGTTCGAGTCCTGGACCTGGTGGCTTGCTTTCTAACTTTCCCTCTCTCTCACTCTGTCCCTCTCTGGTCAAATTAAAATAAATAAATACATAAGTAAATAAAGTTAAATAAAATAATTATTTATGAAAAAAAATTGCTTGGGACCAGCAGATGACATAATAGTTATGTTGCTGGACTCCCATGTAGTTGACTATGGTTTGAGTCTCAGACACAGAGGCTTAAACCTCATGCTAAGCACGTGTGCATGCATGCATAAAATCCCAGGGAAAATGGAGGAGAAGGATTGCAGCATGGCCATCCCCGCAGGGGTTGATTTTCTGCTTTCTGTCTCTCTGTTTCTCTCTGTCTTTCCAGTGAGTGCATGCGCCCTATAGCAAAAACCTCTCTCAAAAAAACAATAAAAACCTTGCTCAATGCTCCAACCTGGTGTCACAATTTTTAGCAAAGTTAACTGCAGTGATGGAAGGCATATGGCTGATGGCAGTTTGGATTACAGGGTTGGCTCAAGATATGGGGGACAAACCGGGCACGTGCACATATGCCCAAGATCCTGAGGAGCTGCAGGGCTGGGGAAAGCAAACTGCTGCAAGACAAGACCCTGTCACAGATGATTCTCTCTTTCTCTCTGTGCTCCTCCCTCTGGTGCACATGCACATAATCTCTATCATAATAAAAAATAAACTTTAAAAAATATTTATTTTATTTTATTTATTATTATATTATTTTTAAAATTTGCTATAGGACACATGTGCTTACCAGAGAGAGAGAGAGAGAAAGAGAAGATGAGAAAGCAAGCTGCCAGGTCTGGGACTGGAACCATGGTTGGCCATGTGGGAGTCTAGTTCCTTAAGCACCATGCCATTTGCTGGCCCAATAAATAAACTTTAACATTAAAAAAGAAGAAGATGAAATAAACTAAAAATATTGATCAAATTCAATCTGGAAGTACATATCCTTTACATATTCCTGGACTTGGGCAAAATCCTGCTTCACCTATAGCCACTTTAACGTTTACGTTTGTTTCCTCATCTCTAAAATGGGGCTGTCCAGCAGTTGGCATAATGGCTATGTTGCTAGACTCCTATGTAGTCGACCACGGTTTGCATCCTGGACCCGGCTTAAAACTCATGCCGGGCCCGTGTGTGTGTGCCCCAGATCCCGAGAGAGAATGGAGGAGAAGGGATTGCGTCATGGTCATCCCCCACCCCGGGGGGTGATTTCTCGCTTTTCTGTCTCTCTGTCTCTGTCTGGCAAGCGCACGCGCCCTATAACAAAAAACACTCAAAAAAAAAAAATGGGGCTGTTAGTATCTACCTCAAGGGGTTATTGTCAGAATTAATTGAAACAATGTCTATTTTTGTGCTTGGCATATATTCAGTACTTAATATTAGCTTGTTTTGGCTATAATTGTACATATATGCTCTTTTTTTTTTAATTGCTAGAGGGCATGTGTGCATACCAGAGAGAGAATACTAGAGGGACAGAGAGTAGAGAAAGCATCCTCCCACTGGGGCATGATCACACTACAATCCTTCTCCATTTCTCCATCCTCTCGGATTTGGGGCACACACTCACACGCAATAGCACATTTTTCAAGCCACCAGGGCCAGGATTTAAACTACTGGGTCAGCCACATGAAATCTAGTTTCCTTATGTTCTTTAAATGGCTTTTTAAATTCTTAAAATTTTCGCAGGAGGGACCAGCAGATGGTGTAAGTGGTTATGTTGCTGGAATCTCACATAGTCGACAACGGTTCAAGTCTTGGACCCAGTGGCTTAAAACTCATGCTGGACACATGTGCACGCGTGCCCAGGATACCAAGAGGAGACTGGAGGAAAAGGGATTGCAGCGTGGCCATCCTCCCTGGGGGGTGATTTCTTGCTTTCTGTCTCTCTGTCTCTGTCTGTCTAGTGAGCATATGTGCTCTATAGCAAAAATCTCTCAAAAAAATTTTTTTTTTCTTTTGTGGGAGAGAGGGAAAAAAGGAAAGAGAGAATGCCTCCTACCCTAGGGCAGCTGGCCACTCTGCAGTCCCTTCTTCTCTCAGGATTTTGGACACACATGCGCGCATACATGTGTGGCATGATTTTCAAGCTGCTAGGTTCAGAACTCAAACTGTAGTCAACCCCAGGGATCCAGAACCTTAACCACCACTCCACCTGCTGGCCCCAAAATGTCTTTTTTTTTTTTTTCCAGAGGTTTGTGCTATAGGGTGCGTGCACTCGCCAGACAGACAGAGAGAGACATAGAAACAGAAAGCGAGAAATCACCCC